CCCCTTGTCCACATACATTCCCGATTTAGACAAAACCAGATTGTTCGACTCAAAGACCATGCGGAAGCCATGTTTGTTCAACAACGAACCGGAAACCGGGTTTTTGCGTATTTCCGGAACAAACAAAACTTGGTTTAGAGTCAGCTTCTTGCCCGAAGTCATCTTCAAGACCACTTTGCTCACGCCTTCAACTGCGAAATGAGCTGAGTTTCCCATCCACACTTTCTCACCATTTGATGGCTGAAAAGTAGTGAATAACTCCCGATTTGAGCAAATATGCCGGGTTGCACCGGTGTCTACAAACCACTCCTTGGAATTGGATCCAACGAGGTTGACCTCGGTCACCACGGTCGCAAGGATGATGTCTTCATCCTTTTGCCCACCTTGCACCAAGTTCACGTAAGAATCTTTCTTCTTCCTTGGTGCCTTGCAATCCGAGGACTTGTGTCCATTCTTGTTGCAATTGAAGCATTTTCCGTTGAACTTTGTCTTGGAAACGCCTCCCTTGGGACCGAGCTTGCTCTTCCCATTATTTTTTGTTTTGGAGCCCTTTGCATGCTCCACCACGTTTGCCTTGGCGCTGGTAACGATTGGGAGTTTCCCATTGTTCTTCCGGTTATCCTCTTCAATCCGAAGACGGAGGATCAATTGCTCCAAGTTCATTTCCTTTCGCTTATGCTTAAGGTAGTTCTTGAAATCCTTCCAAGCCGGCGGCAATAAATGGATAATTGACGCCACTTGGAAAGACTCACTAACTGTCATTCCTTCATCTCGAATTTCGTTGAAGATCATTTTTATTTCCTGAACTTGACTCAAGACCGTCTTCGAATCCACCATTTTAAAATCAAGGAATCGACCAACAACAAATTTCTTTGCGTCGGCATCCTCGCTTTTATATTTGTGGTCCAAAGCATTCCATAGCTCCTTAGCCGTAGCTAATTTGCTATACACGTCGTACAAAGCATCATGCAGCCCGTTCAACACGTAGTTTCGGCAAAGGAAGTCAGAACGTTAAGTCTAAAGGTACACACTTTTTTGTGTACACACTTTTTACACATGTCTGTGTAAGGTTTTTTTTATGTCTGTACCTCTAGCCTGTATCGTTATGTCTGTACAGACATAAAAAAAACCTTACACAGACATGTGTAAAAAATGTGTACACCAAAAGTGTGTACCCCAAGTCCAACTCAAGTCAGAATGCTTCCAAGCTTCAACCGCGTTGAAAGATTGCGCATCCACCTCACCCCCGATTGCTACCGGCGCATCTTCGGTCAAGAATCTAGCAAGACCGAGAGTAGTGAGGTAAAATAGCTTCTTTTGCTGCCACCTTTTGAAGTTTAACTTGTTAAATTTTTCGGGTTTCTACACAGAGTTGCTCGGCACGGTAACCATAGGGATTGCCCCTTGGTTGCCCAAAGTAGATGCACCGCGTTGTGAACCATTGTTCACCGGTGCTCCACTTTCAGAGTGATTATCGTTTGGCACGTTCTGCCCACCAACATTTCCAATTTCTTGCGAAGCCATTTTAACGTTTTCAACATTTTCCGAAAACACAAAAAAATAAGTTCGTTCACCAAAGTTACGAACTACGTTTTTAGATTGTTTACCGCAGTACAACAACCAAGGAAAATACGTTTTAGGATTGTTTACCGGAGTAGAACAATCACGGAATACGTTTTAAGATTGTTAGGTGTGTTTCATAAAAAACGAAGAAATATTAGTTAAATAAAATTAATTAATAAATAAAATAGCTAAAAGAAAACAGAAAATAAGATGGAGCAGATTTTAGCCAGAGGTCGTGCAACGCACGATGTCCTTAAAACGTATTTGTCGCCTCCCACGGTGCTAGGAGCGTTGCAACGACCGTTTCCCAGGATACGGTGGCTAACGAACTATCGTTTGAGCACACAAACGAAAGGTCCGGCGAACTGGAACAATAGCAGAACACTAGGAAATTTCGGAGTAGCTGGAAGTGTTTTTAGCTCAAGAAAACGTGAGGAATGTATTGTGTGTTGTGTTGTTGCAAACCACCTGCCAGCTATTTATAATAGGATTTGTTGTGTGTTAAATGGGGTGTTAATGGACCTGAACTTTGGACATCAATGACCAGTCCGTTGGGCATTGAATCGTCCATAAACTGTCCATTTAACGCAGCATTAAAAGAGAAAAATGTTGGGCATTTATTGCTGTAACGGACCAGAAGACCTTCTGTTGCGAACAGAAGGCCTCGAGCGTCTCTGTTGCGAACAGAAGGCCTCGAGCGTCTCTGTTGCGAACAGAAGACCTCGTTCGGACGGCATTCGTGTCCGCAGGTCGCCCGCGCACATGAGTCGCGGTTTTTCTTCTCCGTTTCGGGATTTGATCGGCAACCCCCCCCCCCCCCCCCCCTGCGCGTAAGAGAGAGCCTTTACCTTTAGGAATCTTAACTCCTTAAAAGAAGCTTCCCTTTATAAGGGGGTGAAAATCCCTTGAGTTTTCCAGTGTGGGATAAAACACACTAGAAACCCATCATTTTCCCAGTTTTTCCATTTCAACGAGTGAACTTCGAGAATCAATTTCTCATTCACCCGTTATCCGTTTTGAGCATATCATATATCGAATTGTAACCCTTGACAAGGACAATCCGAAACCACTTTGACCAAACCCAAGTCGGAAGTGGACCCCACTCAAATAATTGCCCAAAAATGACCATTTAATTCAATTTTTAACACATTTTTCCAACAGTATATGCCCTTTCTTCTAGGATTCATATATTATGTCATTAAAATCTCCGATCACCATCCAAGATAAAAGTGTCGCCTTCCGCTAAAGCTCTTAGAAGTGTCAAATACTCCCTCTTGTGGCTAGTTTCTGGAAACCTATAGGCCATGGGAGCAGGTTAACCTCCACAATTGCCCACCATTATTCAAGCAAATCTTAGCGTCAATATAAATTACCTGGATCTCCAAGGTTTCTACCTCTGCATCGTCATTCCATCCTAGAACTAGACCACCACTTTTCCCTTTGATGTTCGTACCGCATCTATTATGGTAACCGATTTTGCGGAGTATCTCTTTTGCCCTTTAGCATTGAAGCTTCGTCTCCATAAAAAAGATAATGGAGGAGCGATGCGACTAGACGATATCCGACGATCCCTGCGTCGTGGCCCGGTTACCTAACCCCATGCAGTTCTAACTCATTACATTCATGGGAGAAACGACAAGAAAAACGCAAACTGGTTGCGATTGGAAAGGCTGAGTAAGGTGGAAGCCACCCCGAAAAACTTGTATGTACACCAGAAAATCGGTATACTGGTATTGGTATGCCTTCATTTTTCGGTACGGTATCATACCGTACCGATTTATTTCGGTACAGTAACGGTAAATGTTTTCAAATACCGCGCTATACCGGTATAATACCGTACCGACTCCCTACCCAATAATTACGTTAAATTCTAAAATATTGTAAAAGTCCATTGCAATTTTGAAGGTCAAAATTAATACTTATGTTGGTTACAAATAATAAATACAAAAATAAAGGTCCAATTTCCCAAACTCACTATAACCTTCTAGGTTCTACTATGTAACCTTCAAACAAACTAAGCGTAATGATTAATGAATAATGTACTAATGTCCAAACCAATCCATCTTGTTCCATAAGCTTGTGAGTCGCGATGGCTGAGCGGCTGAGCCGCTGAGTAGATTACGTGTGAAGAGGGATACACTTATGTGATAAGTGTATCTACATATGGATATATTCCACGACTCGAGGCACACAACTATGTCCGAAAGTCTTATTCATTTTTTTAATTATAAAAATGACTAGATACACAATATCATGTTAGAGATAAATGTTTTTATATCCATGTTGTTTGAATAATTTTATTTATTTTTGTTAGAGATCACTATTCATTTAATTATATCTACACTGTTCAAGTTATTTCAGGAGAATGTGTTATTATTTAATACGTGACGTATTGAACCGCTTAAATATACTAATAATAATTATTGTTGAATATCGAATATGGCATGACTATGGGTCATCCGGAAACAGTCTCTCTGTGCTTTAGCACAGGGGTAAGACTGCGTACATCCGACCCTCCCTTACCCCACCGTAGGTGGGAGCCGTTGCGGCACTGGGGTAAATGAAAATGAAATGAAAATGAAAATCGAATATGGCATGAATAGATTATTAATTGTATTTTTTAACATTTTAATAATTGATTAAATATGTCGCTGGTAACACACCGATTTAGTATATGTTGGTAGTCTATGATAATTTGTTGTATTGGGAGACATGCATGGTATTTACCGATATTGTACCATTATCGAACCGAAACTTCGGTATACCGAAATGCGGTATACCGAAACTTCGGTAAGGTAACGATATATAAATTTTGTATACCAAAAGTTTTGGTACGACAAAGGTATGAGAGAAAATATTCGGTATACCGTACCGAATCACCCCTAATCTACATGGTGGAGGCGACGACATCGATCAACCTGTCCACCATCACGTTTGGTTTTTTCATTCAGATCATAACAGAAGTCATAATTAGTGAATGAAATGTGTCTTTTAGAATTCTAAAAACATAATTTGTTTTTCCTTTTTTTAATTTATAAGTTTTTTCTACATTTTTTTGTATATAATATTCAATCTTTTCGTTTTACTATTTTGAATCAACTTTATGTTTCTTTAAAAACTGGTTTTCTCAATATTTAGAAAAATTCTAAATGTTTGTAGTTTTTTTTATATTTGTAACATTTAGTATTATGATTTTAGTTTGAACTCATCATTTTCATAGCTTATACTCTATTATTGAAAAGATTTTTTTATCAGGCTATATTGAAAAAAATTTCCAAATGTGAAAAAGTGAAATTATTTTTACTTTTTGAACTATTTGTGAAAAATTCCATGACAACTGTTATCTCTTCTAGTACTAGTATTAAAGTCATTCCCATTATTATACCAGCTCAATTAGAACAGCCCACTGCATAAGATATATTTCTCGGCCCAACAAAAGAACCGATAGCAATAGACGAACTGCCTACTCGTCGCCAGTCAAGGCGGAGGAGGGTCTCTCTACGACTACTTCAGTGGTTTTCAAGCTAGTGACACCCGGCGGCAGTCGACGGAGATCCCAGATAACGGCAGCAGTAGCCTGGTCGGCAGTGGTTCCCCTTCCCCCGGAGCGAATTCAGTCTTGTAGCTGTACTCCGGCGAAGCTTTCTCCAACGAAGCTGCAGTTGCTGTTGTCATCCTGGCTACCTCTAGTTCGCTGTACTCTGGTTCTCTCTCTATCTTACTTTCCCTCTCTTTTTTCATGGTTTTTTTTACATTTTTTGTTCTTTTTCTCTGGTTCTTTTTCCGTCCAATTTATTTCTTTTTTCGTCCATTACTCCAACGGCTCTGTTTACAGTTTTTTGGAGAAGCCCTGTTTGCGCAATAAATCCCTTTCTCTATGTGTTCCTTCTTTGATCTCCTAACGTTCCATTTCTCATATAAGGTATTCATTTTTTATCTTTTCAATTATACTGACTAGTGAATCTAGTATGTGTTCGAGTTCTTGTTAAATTAAGAATGTATTACTTCCAGTCTTCCAATTCGAAATAGTATTGTACATAATATTTGTTGACTAAGAATGTATTTACTACAACTATCTCCTTCTGCTTGACATTCAACCTGCGATTGTAGATATTGATATATTGTCAAATAACTTCTACTTCACTTAAATACTCAATTTGTAGGTGTTCATAAACTGTTCGATAAAATGCCTAACTAAATGGCTATTATAGACTTGGATAATCTCTTCAATGCATAAAAAAAAACTACCATAAAATTCTTTTATTCACTACTGCCTTATACAACGTTTGCTTGCCTACTTGTTGACAAGGAATGCTTATTTTCTTCGCCGATTATTAAAATTAGCATAGTCTTAATCAGCTATTTCATTTGGCAACAAAAATATAGATGTCACATGAACTAACAATAACCTAGGAAGCACGGAAACGCCGAACAGGGGGAGGTTTCCGCCCCGGAAACGTTTCGGAAATGTGAAACGCCTGGAAACGGCCGGAAACTCCATGGAAACGTCCGGAAACGTTTCTGAGATGTTGGGCTGTTTGGCCGGGTTGGGAAACGTTTCGGAAACGTCGCTGGGCTTGGGCCTACGCGTTTCCGCAGAAACTTAAAAAAAAGAGCTTTAATCGCTTACCTCTGCGCGAAGACCCGACGCCTGCGTCACTGCGAACGAAAAAGGGTTGTCTGCGAAGAGGGAAGACTGCGAACAAAGTGCGAACTGCGAAGGAGACATAGAGTCAGAGACCATCGTGAGGCAGGGAGTGCTGCGCCGCTGCCGTGCTGCCGTGCTGGACTGCTGGTTCGCTATTCACCGGACCGGACAGGAGGAAAGAAGAAAAGGGTTTGGTTCTCTTCAATGTCAATTGTTTCCCAGTTCTAGTAAGTACCGACCCTTTATTTATCCTCAAATATGGAACATACTTCACAAGTTAGTGATGGTGTCAGTGGTTCAAGGAGTTCTTCTGTTGGTGTTGATAATACACCTTTGTGGAAATTTGTTACCAAATTAGATAAAAGTGTTGATACAGGAGGGACATGGAGATTCCAATGTAATTTCTGTAATAGCATAAAACAAGGATCTTATTCTAGAGTAAGAGCTCACTCGCTTAAAATTTCAAAACAAGGAATTGCTATATGCAATAAGGTCTAACCTAATGATATTCGTGAGATGAAAAAGTTAGAAGAAGTTGAGAAAATTAAAACAAATTCTGCACCTAAAGATGTTCCTTTACCTTCAGCGGGATCACAAACGGATTAGATAAGTAATACTAGTTTACCTAATAAAAGAAAAGCTGGTAGTAGTCCGTTGGAGAAAGCTTTTGATATGGATACTAGAGGGAGATTAGATGAAGAAATTGCTAGGATGTTTTTTACTGGAGGGTTGCCATTTAATCTTGCTAGGAATCCATATTATGTAAGAGCTTTTTCCTTTGTTGCCAATCATAATTTAGGAGTTAATATCCCCCGGGTTATAATAAATTAAGAACTTCTTTACTTCAACAAGAGAAGACAAATGTTGAGAGGTTATTACAACCACTTAAAGCTACTTGGCCAGAAAGAGGAGTGACGGTTGCAACTGATGGTTGGAGTGATCCGCAACGAAGAACTCTAATTAACTTTATGGCAACATCTGGAAGTGGTCCCATGTTTCTGAAAGCAGTGAATTGTATGGGTGAATTTAAATCCAAAGAATTCATTGCTAATTTGATGAAAGAAGTAATTGATGAGATAAGTCATAATTGTGCAGGTAATCACTGATAATGCTGCGAATTGCAAGGGTGCATGAGAAATCATTGAAGGTATGTATCCCCACATCTATTGGACACCTTGTGTAGTGCATACTTTAAATCTTGCCTTAAAGAACATATGTGCTACAAAGAATGTGGCGAATAACACAGAAGTTTATGATGAATGCCATTGGACCATTGAAATCCATGGTGATGCTGTTCACATAAAAAATTTCATCATGACTCATACTATGATGTTATCCATGTTCAACAAATTCATCTCCCTTAAATTACTTTCTGTGGCAGACACACGTTTTGCTTCTATAATTGTGATGCTTATGAGGTTTAAGCTTATTAGACGTGGTCTGGAGGTTATGGTGTTGAGTGATGAATGGATATCATATCGTGAGGATGACCAACGCAAAGCAAGGTTTGTGAGGGAGAAGATTTTAAGTGAGTATTGTTGGGAGCAAATTGAGGGAGAAATATGCAAGGGTGCAAGAGAAATCATTGAAGGTATGTATCCCCACATCTATTGGACACCTTGTGTAGTACATACTTTAAATCTTGCCTGAAAGAACATATGTGCTGCAAAGAATGTGAAGAATAACACAAAAGTTTATGATGAATGCCATTGGATCACTGAAATCCATGGTGATGCTGTTCACATAAAAAATTTCATCATGAATCATACTATGATGTTATCCATGTTAAACAAGTTCATATCCCTTAAATTACTTTCTGTGGCGGACACACGTTTTGCTTCTACAATTGTGATGCTTAAGAGGTTTAAGGTTATTAGACGTGGTCCGGAGGCTATGGTGTTGAGTGATGAATGGATATCATACCGTGAGGATGACCAAGGCAAAAGAAGGTTTGTGAGGAAGAAGATTTTAAGTGAGTATTGGTGGGAGCAAATTGTATGATTCAAAACGTGTGTCCACCACAGAAAGTTATTTAAAGGAGGTGAATTTGTTGAACATGGATAACATCATAGTATGATTCATGATGAATTTTTTTAAGTGAACAACATCACCATGGATTTCAGTTATCCAATACTCACTTAAAATCTTGTCCCTCACAAACCTTGCTTTGCCTTGGTCATCCTCACGATATGATGCCCATTCATCACTCAATACCATAGCCTCCAGACCGCGTCTAATAAGCTTAAACCTCTTAAGCATCACAATTATAGAAGCAAAACGTGTGTCCGCCACAGAAAGTAATTGAAGGGAGATGAATTTGTTGAACATGGATAACATCATAGTATGATTCATGATGAAATTTTTTATGTGAACAACATCACCATGGATTTCAGTGTTCCAATGGCATTCATCATAAACTTCTGGGTTATTCTCCACATTTTTTCCAGCACATATGTTTTTTAAGGCAATATTTAAAGTATGCACTACACAAGATGTCCAATAGATGTGGAGATACATACTTTCAATGATTTCTCATGCACCCTTGCAATTCGCAGCATTATCAGTGATTACCTGCACCACATTTTGATGACGTATCTCATCAATTACTTCTTTCATCAAATTAGCAATGAATTCTTTGGATTTAAATTCACCCATACAATTCACTGCTTTCAGAACCATGGGACCACTTCCAGAAGTTGCCATAAGTTAATTATAGGCCCTCGTTGCGGATCACTCCAACCATAAGTTGCAACCGTCACTCCTTTTTCTGGCCAAGTAGCTTTGAGTGGTTGTAATAACCTCTCAACATTTGTCTTCTCTTGTTGAAGTAAAGAAGTTCTTAATTTATTATAACCCGGGGGGACATAACCTCCTAAATTATGATTGGCAGCAAAGGAAAAAGCTCTTACATAATATGGATTCCTAGCAAGATTAAATGGCAACCCTACAGTAAAAAACATTCTAGCAATTTCTTCATCTAATCTCCCACTAGCATCCATATCAAAAGCTTTCTCCAACGGACTACTACTAGCTTTTCTTTTATTAGGTAAACTAGTTGATAGAGTATATGGCCCGGGAACACCCGGCCCACAGACTCCTACTACACCAAAGAAGGCCCAACCGGCCCAGGAAGCTCAACAGGCCCAGATCACGGCGCCCAGAGGTCCAATACGCACCAGGGGTGCCTTCGCCCCCTGGCCGAAGGCTCCAAACTATCACAGCGTGGATATTTCGAACAAACAGAGGAACTGGGAGAAAACGGCGAAAATAGTAGTCCTCGGCACCTGGAGCCCTCGGCACCCAGGGGTCCTCGACACTAGGAGCCCTCGGCCATCCTTTGCAGCCGAGGGCACCTCTCCCGACATGAGATCCGCGTCACATGCGTACAGATCACCGTACCCTGCACAGACGTCCCATCCAACAGCCGCATTAAATGCGGCCACATGCGGATGCCAGCGCCAACCAGTTGAGGTGACCTCTCGGCCAATGGGCGCTTGACACGTGTCCCTGTCCGGCATTTATTGCTACTATAAATAGCACCCCATTTCCCCATTTGTAACCACGCTTTAACGCCTCAACTCAATATACTTTCTCTCTCTTACTTGCTCTGACTTCTCTCTTGTTATTCCCTGCAATAACCCTCGGATAAGCTACCCCCCGGGTACACTATCCATCATTTGGTGCTCTCGTTGAGAGGTCGAACAATCGAGTAAGAAACCCTCCCCCTTCGCCAAACACTAGCCCTCTACCAAAATTGTGAGAACAACACGTGCCAACTCCAAAAACGTGGAAGACAAGAACCTGGCCCTCGGCGACGTCAACGCCCCCGAAGCCTCTCACAGGGCTCCCGAGGGCGGTGTCATCGCTGGGTTGGAACAAGCGGCTGTCGACCTTCGCCTTCAGATCCAACAGAATGCCCCCGATGCCCGCCTCGGCATCGAGGCCAAGAAGAAAAACCGGAGCGACGACCAAGTCAGCCCTCCGGTTCTCACCATCGACGTTCAATCGGCGCTCTCCGCCTTCATCCAGACGCTCACTCAGAACCCAGGTGCCTTCGGCACCCTGGCTCCGGCTCAACCCCAGGTTGGAGAGAACATCGTACTTCCCCCTCTGCCACACCCCTTCGGAAACCCCATCCCTCGGGTAAGGAATGACGAAGGGGTAGTGGCCCAAGATACGGCCTCCCAGGAAGTTCAGTCCCGGGACCGCCACAATGACAACAGAGAAAGGCCCCGCACTTCTGCCCTCAACCGGCTCGGAGGAGGGCAGGACCG